CACATGTATACCTATGTAACAAACATGCACATTCTGCACATATATCCCAGAACTCAAAGAATAATTTTTTTAAAAAACTCAAAATGGGTCTAAGGGGCCAGGCAGTGGCTCAGGTCTGTAATCCTAGCACTTTGGGAGATCAATGCATGCAGATCACTTGAGGTCAGGAGTCTGAGACCAGCCTAACCACCATAGTGAAACCCGTCTCTACTAAAAATATAAAAATTATATGAGCGTGGTGGTACACACCTATAATCCCAGCTACTCGGGAGGCTGAAGCACAAGAATTGCTTGAACCCAGGAGGTGGAGGTTGCAGTGAGCCAAGATCAAACCACTGCACTCCAGCTTGGGCGACAGAGTGAGACTTTGTCTCAAAAAAGAAAAAAGGGTCTATGACCTAAATATAAACCTAAAACTAAAATTCTACCGGGCGCGGTGGCTCACGCCTGTAATCCCAGCACTTTGGGAGGCCGAGGCGGGTGGATCACGAGGTCAAGAGATCAAGACCATCCTGGTCAACATGGTGAAACCCCGTCTCTACTAAAAATACAAAATATTAGCTGGGCATGGTGGCACGTGCCTGTAATCCCAGCTACTCAGGAGGCTGAGGCAGGGGAATTGCCTGAACCCGGGAGGCGGAGGATGCGGTGAGCTGAGACCGCGCCATTGCACTCCAGCCTGGGTAACAAGAGTGAAACTCCATCTCAAAAAAAAAAAAAAAACTAAAATTCTGAGAAGAGGCCAGGCGCAGTGGCTCCAGTCTGTAATCCCAGCACTTTGAGAGGCCAAAGCAGGTGGATCACTTGAGGTCAGGAGTTCAAGGCCAGCCCGAGCAATCTGGTGAAACCCCATCTCTACTAAAAACACAAAAATTATCTGAGTGTGATGGCATGCGCCTGTAATCCCAACTATTTGGATTCTCTGAGGTACAAGAATCACTTGATCCTGGGAGGTGGAGGTTGCAGTGGGCCTAGATCAGGCAACTGCACTCCAGCCTGGATGACAAAGTGAGATTCTGTCTCAAAAGAAAAAAAAATTCTGAGAAGAAAGTAAAGGGCAGGTGCTTCACGATATTGAATTTGACAATGATTTATTGGATATGACACCAAAAGCACAGACAACAACAATAAAATGCATATACTGGACTTAATGAAAATGTAAGAATTTTGTGCATCAAAAAACACTCTCAGGCCGGGCGCGGTGGCTCAAGCCTGTAATCCCAGCACTTTGGGAGGCCGAGGCGGGTGGATCACGAGGTCAAGAGATCGAGACCATCCTGGTCAACATAGTGAAACCCCGTCTCTACTAAAAATACAAAAAATTAGCTGGGCATGGTGGCACGTGCCTGTAATCCCAGCTACTCAGGAGGCTGAGGCAGGAGAATTGCCTGAACCCAGGGGGCGGAGGTTGCGGTGAGCCGAGATCGCGCCATTGCACTCCAGCCTGGGTAACAGGAGCGAAACTCCGTCTCAAAAAAAAAAAAAAAAAAACACTCTCAACAATAAGGGATTCATATTGAGAATATATAGAGAACTCCTAAAATTCGACAAGAAAAAATAAGTTTTGATTCAAAAATGAGCAAAGAACTTAAATGGAAGTTTCTACAAAGAAGATATACAAATGATCAATAAGCACGTTAAAATATGCTCAACATCACTAATCATTAAAGAAATGCAAATTAAAACTACAACGAGATACCACCTCACATCCCCTAACATGGCTACAATTTTTAAAAACTGAGAATAAATGTTGGCAAAGATAATGAAGAAATTGGGACCTCTATGCACTCTTGGAGGAAAAATTGTAAAGCAGTTGTGGAAAATAGTAGGGTGGTTCTCCAAGAAATAAAACTAGAATAATTATCATATGATCCAGCGATTACACTTCTGGGAGTGTACTCAAAGAACTGAAAGCAGGATCTCAAAGACACAGTTGTACACTCACGTTCATAGCAGCATTATTCACAAGAGCTAAAATGTAGAGGCACCCAAGTGTCCACTGACAGATAAACAGATAAAGAAAATGTGGACCGGGCACGGTGGCTCACGCCTGTAATCACAGCACTTCGGGAGGCGGAGGCGGATGGATCACAAGGTCAAGAGATCGAGACTATCCTGGTCAACATGGTGAAACCCTGTCTCTACTAAAAATACAAAAAAATTAGCTGGGCATGGTGGTGTGTGCCTGTAATCCTAGCTACTCAGGAGGCTGAGGCAGGAGAATCGCCCGAACCCAGAAGGAGGAGGTTGCGGTAAGCTGAGACCGTGCCATTGCACTCCAGCCTGGGTAACAAGGGCAAAACTCCGTCTCAAAAAAAAAAAAAAAAAAAAAAGAAAGAAAGAAAAAGAAAAAGAAAATGTGATATACAGATACAGTGGAATGCTAGCCATAAAAAGGAAGAAAATTTTAGATAAATTTTGAGGACATTACGCTAAGTGAAATAAGCCAATTACAAAGACAAACACTGCATGACTTCACTTAACATAAGGTACTTAAAGTAATAACATTCATAGAGATGGAAAGCAGAATGGTAGTTTCCAGGGCCTTTGGGGGAAGGGGCAATAGAGAGTTATTGTTTAATGGGTATAGAGCTTCAGTTTTGCAAGATGGAAAGTGTTCTGGAGATTGATGGTGGTGATGATTGTACAACCATACGAATGCACTTAATACCACTGAACTGTACACTTAAAAATGATTAGAGAGTAAATTTTATCTTATATGCATTTTTCCCAAAAAAAGAGAAAATCTTTGCAATGAAAAAAGATCACAAGTTAAAATTCAATTTGTAAAATACTATGTATTGAATTATCAGTTATATTTTTAGTATATTTTTAACATATTTTAAAATGTATAAATATAGAATAAACATATGTTTGGAGGTGGAATGATAGAGAACAAAATAGTATTCATGGTCATATCCAGGTTTTCCTTATAAGTATTTTTATAATAGACACGAATTTATTTTGTAATAATAAGATCATAAAATATTTTTCAAAAGCACATAAAAAATAATCACCACAAAGTTTCTTCAGGCAAAAAGTTCCTTTAATAAAGAAGAGGAAGGTAGAGGCAGGATATCTCATCTGAAAAATGAAGTGTGTCTGTTAGGAAGAAACAACACAAGTTACCATGGAATAAAAGTGTCTTTAAAATTTTTGTATCAAAAAGGAACCAGCTATTTATCATTGCAAAGTTAATAAATTAGTAAAGAAATTATAGCTATTTCAGTTTTAGTTTTATTAGGCTGAAATAAATCATTTTTAGTAACACTTTGCAGTTGTAGAACTCCTTTTCTTCAACTCCATGTCTTCCGGAATGTTCCTGACAATAACTGAACTATATTTAACCACACATAGCGACTACAGATGAACAAACTAAGCCACTGCTATGGCTTGAATGTTTGTCAAACTCATGTTGAAACTTAAATGTCATTCTAACAGTATTAGGAGGTGAACCTTTTAAGTGGTGCCAAAGCTGAGGCCCGGCACGGTGGCTCACACCTGTAATCCCAGCGCTTTGGGAGGCAGAGGTGGGCAGATCATGAGGTCAGGAGATTGAGACTATCCTGGCCAACATGGTGAAACCCCATCTCTACTAAAATACAAAAAATTAGCCAGACATGGTGGCTTGTGCCTGTAGTCCCAAGCTACTCAGGAGGCTGAGGCAGAAGAATCCCTTGAACTCAGGTGGTGGAGGTCACAGTGAGCCAAGATCACGCCACTGTACTCTAGCTTGGCGAAAGAGCAAGACTTCATCTCAAAAAAACAAAAAAAAGTGACAAAGTTGTGGGGGCTCTGCCCTCATCAGTGGATTAATGCCATTACTGCAGGAGTGAGTTTGTTATCATGAGATTTGGTTCCTTATAAAAAGACAAGTTTGGCCCCCTTTTCTCTCTCTCTCCCTGTCACACTCTCTTGCTTTCTACCACAGAATAATACAGCAAAAAAGCGCTTGTCAGGTGCCAGCCCCTTGTTTTTGAACTTCCCATCCTCCAGATTCTGCAGATATAAATTTCTGTTCTTTATATATGACCCAGTCCGTGGTATTTTATTACAGCAGCACAAAACAGACTAGGGCAGGCACTGAAAAGGCCAACTAATTTTCTCCTGGCATTTAGATAGGATAGCATAGACTGCTAGATGCCTACTCAAACATTCATTCTCCACTTCTTTTTTTTGGAGAGCCTCAATTTTTAGCTAATAACATTGCCATTGTAAATCAAAGACAATTTCTCTGACTTTCTTAAAAAAGAGTGTACAGAAACGTTATGTGGGATATCTAGGAAAGCTTAAAGGGAGGTGACTGTTGGTCTTACGCTTTTCTGCTTTTCTTACATTTTGCAGCCTGCTAGCTAGAGAGAAGTTCAAACAACACTGAATTTTATTTCTCTTTTATCTAACAGTCCAGCGGTGCACAGACCTGGACAGATGCAGGGGCTCTCCTCAACATGAGGCTCCCAAGCTTGCTCTGCTTGTCTCCAATTTCCAGCCAGTAGGCAGAAATACAGGGAAAATTTAAATTCTATTTTTTAAGCCACTGCATATATATATATCCCCTTGTTAAGAAGCTTAGCTCATTCTCTACTGACGTTAGTCCTCAAAGGACTGCGTGGAGCAGGGCAACTGCTGATATGAAACTCCAGCACAGAACTCTTCTGTAAAAATGAAATTCACTATCTTTTATTTAAATCATTATGTTCTGAGGTCTCTAGCCTATTCTAAATAATGCATCTAGCAAATAGATCAGGCACACCTATCTTGCACCAGCAGGAAGAAGGTTATGAAATCTGAACAGACTTCTACAAGAACGTATTTCTAACACTTGCAAAAAGTAGAGAATAATGATTAAAGGACAATAGACAAAGAATTGCTCACAGAAAATGGAACAAGTTCTAACCAAGAACGTATTCCATTCCCAGGGCAAGGAGTCTGTTTATCTGCCCATTAGAATTTCACCATTGTTATAAACCATTGAGTCCTGTACCTTTCCCATTTCCCAATTTTCCATTTCTGAAAGAGAGATTTTATTGCAGCTATACAATTCTACAGCATCATTACCTATCGGATGTGAGTGTGGGAGGCAAGAGCCTCCCTATCACTTGATGGAGAGGACAACACACCACCCAGCAATCCTGGACTTGGGGATGGATGGAGCACCCAAACAGGACTTTGCGTTGTTAGTACGTGGTGAGAAAAAAGATGAGTCTGGCAAAGTGGAGGGCCAAAGGAGTGGACTGTGATGGATCACTATTTTCTCTAGTATCCGTTCTCCCCTTCCTTTCAAAAATATAATCATCAAGTACATGGCCAAGAGCTACAGACCAGAATTCCCCAGCCTCACTGGTCTGTTCCTCCAACCAAGTCCGGGCCAACAGAATGTAAGCAAATGTGAGGTGTGTACCTCCTGTGTTGCCTCTATAAAACTGAAGCATTGGCTAGGCATGATGGCTCACACCTGTAATCCCAGCACTTTGAAAGGCTGAGGCAGGTGGATCACCTGAGGTCAGGAGTTCAAGACCAGCCTGACCAACATGGCAAAACCCCATCTCTACTAAAAATACAAAATTAGCTGGGCATGGTGGCAGGCACCTGTAGTCCCAGCTTCCTGGGAGGCTGAGGCAGGAGAATGGCTTGAACCCGGGAGGTGGTGGTTGCAGTGAGCCGAGATTGTGCCATTGCACACCAGCCCATCAGCCTGGGCAACAAGAACGAAGCTCCATCTCAAAGAAAAAAAAAAAAAAAGGAAGAAGAAGCATTGTCCCCAGGACATTCTCATTCCTCCTTCCCAGCTCCTGGAAAATGGCAGCTGCTGGATATGGGGATTAAAAAAAGCTGGAGATGTAGGCTGAACATAAACTAGGAAAGCCTTAAATAAGCTGAAATTTTAATTTACAACCAATAGTTCAGGTACACAGGTTGGTACCAAACTGTAAAGAAATGAAAAACAATACAGTAATCTGTTAACTCTGTAATCTGTCTCTGTTCATTCCATTTTAAAATTCTGAGATAATTTATTTCTCTTTTTAATATGAACATAGTCTTTCTTTTGTAAATGATGGTATTAACAGGCCATAGATTATTTATGGTGCTCTTTTTTTTTTTTTTTTGAGACGGAGTTTCGCTCTTGTTACCCCAGGCTGGAGTGCAATGGCGCGATCTCGGCTCACCGCAACCTCCGCCTCCTGGGTTCAGGCAATTCTCCTGCCTCAGCCTCCTGAGTAGCTGGGATTACAGGCACGTGCCACCATGCCCAGCTAATTTTTTGTATTTTTAGTAGAGACGGGGTTTCACCATGTTGACCAGGATGGTCTCGATCTCTTGACCTCGTGATCCACCCGCCTCGGCCTCCCAAAGTGCTGGGATTACAGGCTGAGCCACCGCGCCCAGCCTCTGGTGTTCTTGCTTTACAAAGTAAGTGTCAGCATCCCAGTTTTTTTTTTTTTTTCTAAAGATGGGGTTTCACCATGGTGGCCAGGCTGGTTTTGAACTCCTGACCTCAGGTGATCCACCCACCTCAGCTTCCCAAAGTGCTAGGATTATAGGCGTGAGCCACCAGGCCGGCTAGCATCCCAATTTTTTAAAAATGATATTAATCCAGTGAAATTCAAAAATTCGGGAACTACAATCGGATACAGTGACAAGGAAGGCTTTAGGTACAGAACTTACAAGATCAAATGTACTCTCTAGGAAGTAAACTAAAATGTCAGTCTAGTTAATTATGAATTCTCCTATCCATAATCCTGTCAGAAAATGTTAGGAGAGCAGTGCTAGCAGACAAGACTATAGAAACTATTTACTAAGATAGGAACAGCAAAGTACCATTAAAGAGAAATTCCTGCTTTCATGTGACTGTCTTCACTATTATTTTCAAGTTTGTTTACAACACATTTTTAGAGAAATTTCTGCTTTCATGTGACTGTCTTCCCTATTATTTTCAAGTCTATTTAAAGATAATTAATATCTAAACATTAATTACCTCTGTAATTAATATTTGTTCTGGGAAACACACAAGGAATGTGATTTCACTATTCTTCTTAGTCAATCGACAAGCATTCATTGAGCCAGGAACTTGGGGAATGAAGAAGGATGCAAAGATAAAAAACACACAGACCCTGCCTTTAAGAGTCTCAAAGTCTGATGAATGGCATGGCTACGTAAAAAATAACTATAACACATTTTGGCTGGGCACAGTGGCTCACGCCTGTAAACCCAGCACTTTGGGAGGCCAAAGGGGGCAAATTACTTGCAGTCAAGTTTGAGACGAGGGTGGCCAACACGGCAAAACCCCATCTCTACTAAAAATACAAAAATTAGCCGGGCATGGTGGGGTACACCTGAAATCCCAGATACTTGGGAGGCTGAGGCAAGAGAATTGCTTGAACATGGAGGCGGAAGTTGCACTGAGCTGAGGTCACACCACTGCTGCACTCCAGCCTGGGTGATGGAACTCCACCTCAAAAAAAAAACAAAAAAAAACAAAAAAACTATACTACATTTTCAGAGGTATAATAATAGATGATATACAATGTGACAGGGAGAAAGTCCTAACATTGGGATTCTATAAGTTGTTTTGATGAGCTTCTAAGCTACAGTCTATCAATTCTAGCATGCCACACACAGGTTCAAAACTCTAGTTCAATCATAAAGCGTTTGGGATGAGCAGTATCTTTCTAACAGGCTTGAGAACCTCCCACCTCCACTACAGCCTGGAAAAGAATTTTATTTTTTGTGTGTGAAATAGCATAAGACTCTTCTTGCCTAATCTTCTTTCAGATTCCAGACCTGCATCAGAATCTGAAAGTTTTCCCTGCCTACTCCACTCCTTCCCACTTTATCCTTCAAAGGTGATTCCCCAAAAACCTCTTTTATGTTAAATCTCCTCTTGGTATCGGCTTTTGGAGAACTTGAATTAACACAAGGAGTGTCCAATTGTCTAACGTTGCATAAAAACAACCCTAAAATGCAGCTCAAAACAAAAATCATTGTATTATATCTCATTATTTTGTAGGCCAGGAATTCAGGCAAGGCTGCCCTGGGTGATCCTTTTGTTTTATGAGGCAGATGGGCTGGTTGGGAGGATCTGGGGTGGCTTCATTCAGGCATCTGGCTGCATTACTGTAGATAATTGGAAATCTGGGCTCAGCTGGGACTGTCAACCATACTGCCTATTCATGGCATCTCCTCTACCATGGAGGCTGTATGGCTTTTAAGATCTATTCATAAAAGTCATATAGGCTCACTTCTGCCATAACTCTACTGATAAAAGTAATCACAAACACAACCAGAGTTAAACTAAGGCAATCAATAAACACTACCTCCTTGAAGCTGGGAATGCTAAATAATTTGCTGTTATGTTTCCAAATCACCACACGGGGTCACCCTTTCTCTTAGGAAATCACTAAGTTCCATCAATTTCACAATACTTTTTCATTCAAGCCAGAAGAGATGTATTAATTCTAACCAAAAATATACTTGCTACAATAAAAATGCTATATGGATCAGCAAAGGTAAGTTCTAGTTTATAACCTCTTTTGTCATTACAGCCCAACTGTCAATGCCCCAATCAACAAAAAGGGAATTCAGATCTAGTGCTTTACAGTCCAGATGACATGAATCTAAAGACCACGACCCTGTTGACCACAGTAGTTTCTTTGAGGGTAAATTCTGTATTTTCTTTTTTTTTTTGAGACGGAGTTTCACTCTTGTTACCCAGGCTGGAGTGCAATGGCGCGATCTCGGCTCACCGCAACCTCCGTCTCCTGGGTTCAGGCAATTCTCCTGCCTCAGCCTCCTGAGTAGCTGGGATTACAGGCACGAGCCACCATGCCCAGCTAATTTTTTGTATTTTTAGTAGAGACGGGGTTTCACCATGCCAACCAGGATGGTCTCGAACTCTTGACCTCGTGATCCACCCTCCTCGGCCTCCCAAAGTCCTGGGATTACAGGCTTGAGCCACCGCACCCGGCCAATTCTGTATTTTCTATAAGTATAGAAGGTTGTCATCCAGCATGAACCCTGGCCACTGACTCAATGATCATTCTAGGTGTGTGAAACTGTTACTCCTTTGATTACTAGAAAGCATACAGAGGAGAGAGTAAATTGGCCGGAGCCTAAACTCCAGCTAAGAGACAGCTGTGACCTACTGTTGCCTTTTGGAACTTTAATTGGGGAGGTATAAAACATGGAGTTATGATCACCAAAGGATAATGAGTTAAACTTCAAAGGAACAACACAGTCTTATATACCTGTCATCTTTTGCTGAGGCATCTTCATAAAGATTAAGCACATTAGGACCATGCAGCAGTGACTTTCCTTGGTTACAAAGCAAGAGTGGATTTGCCATCCCAGTCATTGATAATGGTAAACTGTTTTGTGTGCATGTGTATGTGCTAAACATTCACCTGAAAGATATCTTGAGAACTATGTTGGTATAATACAAATGCATTCAACAGGCTTTTCTGTCTTTGCTCTCAAATTAGCAAATTTTTTTTTTTTTTTTTTTTTTGAGACGGAGTTTCACTCTTGTTACCCAGGCTGGAGCGCAATAGTGCGATCTCAGCTCACCGCAACCTCCGCCTCCTGGGTTCAAGTAAGTCTCTTGCCTCAACCTCCCAAGTAGCTGGGACTACAGGCGTGTGCCACCATGCCCAGCTAACTTTTGTATTTTTAGTAGAGGCAGGGTTTCACCATGTTGACCAGCATGGTCTTGATCTCTTCACCTTGTGATCCGCCCACCTTGGCCTCCCAAAGTGCTGGGATTAAAGGCGTGAGCCACTGTGCCCAGCCAAATTAGCAAATTTACTTAGCCCTGAATAAAACCAAGCAACTACGCTATACAGAAAAATTTAGGAACCCTAAATAATGGATTGAAATTCTATTCAAACTTAACACATAACTGTACTTTTTTAGTTATCAGCAACTAGACCACTCATTCAGGGATCAATCTACCTCAAAGTAAATAGATTAAAATCTCCTAATCTAAGAAATCATTCAGTTATAAAAAATACGATTAACCTAGTACTTTTTTTTTTCAAGTTTTTCCTCCTCTACCATAAAATATTGATATGAAAAGTGGAGTTCTTGGCAGAAAAAGCGGAGTCTATGTCTGAATCGTTCAGAGTTAGAAAAAATGTTTAGCGTAGTTTAGCACATAAAAGTTGTTCAACAAATATTTGTTGAAGCCAGCCACCGTGGTTCACACTTGTAATTCCAGAACTTTGGGAGATCAAGGCAAGTGGGTCGCTTAAGACCAGAAGTTTGAGACCAGCCTGGCCAACAGAGCAAAACCCCATCTTTACTAAAAATACAAAAAATAAAAAATAAAATAAAATAGCTGGGTGTGGTGGGACTACACACCTGTAGTCCCAGCTCCTCGGGAGGCTGAGGCAGGAGAATCGCTTGAACCTGGAAGGTGGAGGTTGCAGTGAGTCGAGATCATGCCACTGTACTCCAGCCTTGGCAACAGAGTCTGACTCTGCCTCAGAAAGTAAATAAATGAAATAAAGTAAGATATTTGTTGAATGATTGACTGAATGAATGGATGGATGGCTGGATATTTATTTGTGTTAACTTACTCAATTAGAATTTTCATTTACACATCTTCCAGGAGGGAGTTGTATAAATTAAAAATAATAGGTAAGACAGAGGCTAATTTAAATTTGAAAGAGCTAAATGGTTTCTCTTCAGTTTGTTAGTGATTAATACTTAGGTGTTAATTATAATTTACCTAGGACAGATTTTCTTTGAACTTCATTTCTTACATGTCCATATCAGACAACTAAGCCTTTTTAGCTAAACCCTGATATTCTGGTTATCTTAATAACCATTACATCACCAACAATGATTAAACGGTATTACCTTAATTACTTTCAGGCAAGGAATTTATCTACTTTGTTCAGCAGCAAGAAGGGCACCTGACACAGAGTAAGCACCCATTAAATATCTGCTGAATAAGGCAATGAACTATTAAACTCCATTTCTTAATGTAAGTACGTAACAAAGAATGTGCAACCATCCCCAATCCACGCTGCAGACTTACATTCTGATCATTACAGCAACCCTGAAAAGTAGGTATTATTTCATTCATTTCATAAATGAAGAAATTCTCATGGCTAGGGTGTGATAGTACTTGGATTTGAAGCTATATTTATATCCTCCCAAAGTCTTTTTAACTGCCTCTCCAGGCACAGTGGCTCATGTAATCCCAACACTTTGGGAGGCCGAGACAGGAGGATCACCTGAGGTCAGGAGTTCAAGACCAGCCTGATCAACGTTGTGAAACTCTGTCTCTACTAAAAAATACAAAAAAAATTATCCTAAAAAATTAGGGGGTGGCACATGTCTGTAATCCCAGCTACCTGGGAGGCTGAGGCAGAAGAATCACTTGAACCAAGGAGGCAGAGGTTGCAGTGAGCCAAGATCGTACCACTGCACTCCAGCATGGATGACAGAACCAGAGTCCATCCCAAAAAAACAAAAAATGCTACTTACAATAATTGCCTCTCCAATAAGATAATTTTTAGGACATATAGAAAATAAAAACAAACAACAATTACTGGATATCTGACTTTGTATCTGAACTTAGTCATTTACCTCAGGACTGTCCCTGATAGCCATGTTCAGGGACAATCTATTTTCATATAGAATCATCCATCAGGGCTTTGTACCCACTTTTGGCTCCAAATTATTCCTCTTGGGGTTTGCTTATCCATTGTTGTCGACACAAAGACCAGATCACCATTCCCTATTCAGCCTGGTTTCCTGTCTTTTTCACAAACCAATTATTCAGCCATCAATAAATAATCACTCCTTGGTTCTTTTTTTTTTTTTTTTTTGAGACGGAGTTTCGCTCTTGTTACCCAGGCTGGAGTGCAATGGCACGATCTCGGCTCACCGCAACCTCCGCCTCCTGGGTTCAGGCAATTCTCCTGCCTCAGCCTCCTGAGTGGCTGGGATTACAGGCACGTGCCACCATGCCCGGCTAATTTTTTGTATTTTTAGTAGAGACGGGGTTTCACCATGTTGACCAGGATGGTCTCGATCTCTTGACCTCGTGATCCACCCGCCTCGGCCTCCCAAAGTGCTGGGATTACAGGCTTGAGCCACCGCGCCCGGCTTTTTTTTTTTTTAATAGAGACAAAACCACTTTCAGCTAGACCTTGGTTCTCTGAAAAAAGACTATGCTTACCTGAATTAACAACACAGAATTGACCTCTAGGCTAATTTGTTCTTATATAACCCAATCATTTTTTCTGATGTGTCCCCAGAGAATGCAAAATAGGTTAATACTGGCCTGATGATCGAATTCTTCTCTACTCCAAAAATCCTAAAGATATTCTACGTTTTATTTTCAGTTGTTGTTGAGACAGGTCTTGCTCTGTCACCCACTCTGGAGTACAGTGCAGGCTCACTGTCGCCTCAACTTCCCAGGCTCAAGAGATCCTCCCACCTCAGCTTCTTGGATAGCTGGGACCACTGGCACATGCCACCACACCCGATGAATTTTTGTATTTTCTGTAGAGACAGGGATCTTATTATGTTGCCCAAGTTAGTCTTGAACTCCTGGACTCAAGCAATACTCTTACCTCGGCCTCCGAAAGTGCTGGGATTACAGGCATGAGCCACCACGCCCGACCTCTATATTTTCTTCTAACAGTTACAATCTTTCACAAAAGACCTGAATTGTTTTTATATTTCCACCTTAGGTAGGGATCTAATTTTTATTTTTCCATAAAATCTAATTTTTTCTCCAAACTAGATCAAATTCTCATTTGCCTGTTTCTGGGTTCTATTCAACTCCCTGGTCTACTCTATTCCTGTACCAGTACTACATCAGCTTACCTTCTACGGCTGGGAAATATATTTGAATATCTAATGGAATGAATCTGTCCTCTCTTTTCTTTTCTTTTTCTTTCTTTCTTTCTTTTTTTTTTTTCAGTGATTGTCTTAGACCAGAGTCAGGGAATTATAGTTCATGGGCCTAACCCTATTCACTCACTATTGTAATAAGTAAAGTTTTATTAAAACACAACTACTCTCATTTGCTTCTTTGAACACTGTAACAGCCAGATTGGGTAGTTGCATCCATCTACCAAAGACTAATGTTTACTGTATGGTCTTGTATAGAAAAAGTTGACCAATCCATGGTCTTAATTACTCATGGACATGTATACTTTTACATGAATTTCAGAATCATTTTGTAAACTTCCCAGTTCCAAGTTATTGATTGTAAGGAACAGAAACTGATTCTAAATTAATACAGAAATAAACTCTATTGGAAAATAGAGAGCTCACAAAATCAGAAAGAAGGTTAGAGAAACAGGCTCAGAAAATGGGCAGGAACCAAGGGCGGCCTGGCAACAGAGAAAGTTACACTACAGCAGAGAGCCTGGTTAGGACACCACCAGAAGGCTGCCACAGAAAAAGTTCTTCCAAACGGTCCCCGCATCACCCTACCACTCACACAAGCTTCAACATTCTGAAAAGGAGAATGTTATGTCCAATTTAGGATCACATACTCATATCCTAGTCTCCAGAGAGAAAGAAGGTTCTGGTTCTTCTCCCACTACCACAAAGAGAGGCAGGGGCCTGCCCTCTCTCAAGACTTACTCAATGGGGGTTCGTTCAAAACATCAGGAGGCAGATTCTCCCTAAAGGTGGCTATAATTTTACTTGGAATTACCCCAAATTGGAGGAAAATGGTTATCTTAAATACTGCTGTCTCATTCATGAAGATGATTTTTCTGATTATTAATTCAGGTTTCTTTATACCCTTTGGTAGAGTTTCAAAATGTTCTTCTGTGATGGTCTTTGTCTATTAAGTCCTTCATATTTTACAGGTTTTTTTGTGGTTGTTTTAGACAGTATCTTCTTTTCTATATCTTCTTTATTATTTCTAGTACTGAAAAATAACTACTGATTTTTGTATATTGATCTTGCAATCCACAAGCTTCTTATTACTTCTAAGAGTTTGTTGATATACTTTAATTTTCTATGTAAATGGTCATAGCAATCATAACACTTGCAAATGACTATTTTATTCCTCAAATCCAATCTTTATATTTCTTAGTGTTCTATTCTATGTTACTAAATTGCCCTGAGCCTCCAGTGTGAGGCAGAACATTATGATAGTCAGTATTCTTGAATTATCCCTAATCTTTTTTTTTCTTTTTTTTTTTTTTGAGACGGGAGTTTCATTCTTGTTACCCAGGCTGGAGTGCAATGGCGCAATCTCAGCTCACCGCAACCTCTGCCCCCTGGGTTCAGGCAATTCTCCTGCCTCAGCCTCCTGAGTAGCTGGGATTACAGGCACACGCCACCATGCCCAGCTAATTTTTTGTATTTTTAGTAGAGACGGGGTTTCACCATGTTAACCAGGATGGTCTCGATCTCTTGACCTTGTGATCCACCCGCCTCGGCCTCCCAAAGTGCTGGGATTACAGCTGGTCTTGAACTCCTCACCTCAGGTGATCCACCCACCTCGGCCTCCTAAAGTGCTAGGATTACAGGCGTGAGCCACCGAGCCTGGCCAAATTACCCCTAATCTTAAAGTAAACGTTTTTCAAGATTTTCCAGGTAAACAGTAAATATCTTTTTATCATATTACGGAAATTTCCTTCTGTTCCTAGTTTTCTGCCAATTTAAACTGTAAATAAATACACAACTTCATTGAATGTTTTCTCTGTTGAAATGTTCTATTTTTTTCTTTAGTTTCTTAGTGTGGGAAATCACATTAACAAATTTTTCTGATGTCGAATTACCTCCTTATAGTCCTAAGAACTAACCATAACTGGTCATGGTACACTATATTTTAAAATCATTATATATATTATTTTAGTAATTACCAAATTCAGTTACCTAATGCATATTAGTATTCTTGCATTTATGTTCAGAAGTGAGGCTGATCTGTAATTTACTTTATTGCACTACTCTTATCAAGTTCTGATAGTAGGGTTATATTGGCTTCATAAAAGGAGTTAGAAGTCTTTCTTATCTTTCTTAAAGGAAGGAAACAATAAAACTGAAAGTTTACAAAATCAGTAAGATATATATATATATATATATATATATATATATATATACACACACACACATATTTATTTATTTATTTATTTATTTTCTGAGGCAGAGTCTCGCTCTGTTTTCCAGGCTGGAGTGCACTGGCACAATCTCAGCTCATTGCAGCCTCCAACTCCTGGGTTCAAGTGATCCTCCTACCTCAGCCTCCTGAGTAGCTTGAGACTACAGGCATACAACACAACACCTGGATATTTTTTGTGTTTTTAGTAGAGACAGGGTTTTGCCATGTTAGCTAGGCAAAAAAGAATTTGTAAAGATTTTTTAAAAGTGGAAATGATTACAGAGATTATAATTTGTTCTTTAAAAAGTTAATAAGAATAAAGAAATTACCAAGTTTACTGACCACACAGGAAAACTCCGGTTTATACTTACAGTCCTGAGATAATTATTAATAGCAGCCCCTCTCATTCTCAAATTACCACTATTGGGCAACAAACTATCCACTAGGGTAAACCTTCAATAACTGACATGGATTTGAAGCCATATACTAGCCGTATTACTGTGATAAATTCCCCAGGCCTCTTTGAGCTTCAGGTTTCCCATCAGCAGAATGGAAACTGTGACATTTACCTCTCTGGGTAGTTTGAAGAACGAATGAAATAAAGCAAGTAAACTGACCAATTATTTTTTAAAGTTAATTTCAGCAATGGACATCCCCAACAATTTACAGATTAGAGCAAAAATTCAGCAGCCAGTACCAACAAAATTCCAAAGCCTTCTTGACTAGAAGCAGGAAAGTATATACAAGGTTAGACCATCAATGCCCAGCCCCCACCCCCACCACCTGCAGCCCTGTCTACTAGGTAACTGAGGGTATTCAGGTTTATCTATGGACCCTAAGGGCAGGCTCATTGCAATGCTCCA